TTCTATTCCATTTCTGCCAATAGACATCCTTACTAAATGTCACACACCATTTAACAGTGATTTTTTTCTGATTAATGAACAACTATTTGTAACTGTTGTAATTATCTCAATAATTCTGCTGAATGTGTTAATGACCACCATTATTTCTCTCTGTGGCATATTGAATGAGTATATCTAAGCAGAAATGTGCTTTTGAATGACTTAAAGTGACATGTGACCCTTGTTGTCCAACCAGGCTCTCCTGTTCAACCCAGCCAAACCCTTCTGGAGAGGGACAGGCAGCCAGAACGCTGACGTGGAGCTCATGATGGACTGCTTTGTCTCCTGTTTCCGCATCAATCCTCACAACAACCAGCACTTTAAGGTGGACTGAAAAGAAGTGATACTCATTAGTTGTTTGTGATGTTTCCCCTGCTTTACTCATGGAGCACAGCATCAGCAGCTCTATCTGGTTCTCATGAGTGTTTCCACTTTGTCCTGAAGGTCTGTTTGGCCGCCTCCTCCCCCTCCACCTTTCACTTTGTCCTGGTCAACTCGCTGCACAGAATAATCACCAACGTAAGTCTGCAGAGCTTCTTCACACGTCAGTGTCTATAGAATAACTGTATGCGTTCACTTGTTATATCTCATGCTATGTTGTCTTCTTTCAGTCCCATCTGGATTGGTGGCCTAAGATTGATGCAGTGTACTGCTACTCTGGAGAGCTTCGCTTTATGTTCTCAGACACCCTCAACCGGGTGATCCAAGGTGTTGGCACCCACGCTCCACTACGCATGACACCGGTGAGCAGACGGCAAATTTTTATGTTACTTTTATATTACATATTCTGTGTAAGTTATATTATGGATTAAAAAAAAGTCAAAATCAACTTGACACACTGAAAAATAATTCAAGTTGATCACAACTAGTTTGTTATTTTTGTAGTTTTGTGCCTCATTTCTATCAGTAATATTAACATTGTATTTACCAAAGTAGTGGTTGAGCTCAAGGAACACCTACAATGAAGTCCAACAGCAAACACGAGGTTGCAAACAGTTTGAGATCTGAAGTTGTTTGAGATTTAAATGATCTAATCCACTTTAGTTTGAGGTCAAACTGAAAGTGAGCTCACCTGAAATGTCATCAATAATCCCTCGCTACTATGATAGGTCCAGCAGTTTAAAGTTGACCCAGGAAGTCGAAGTGTAAACTGGGGTGGATGCTCACAATGGTTAGAAATGTGTTCCACTAACAGAATGATGTATAGCTAGCTGCAGGGTCCCCACGCATCCTAGAAAAACCTGGAAATTTAGAGACTAGTTTTCCAGTCACAGTATACACAACAACATCAGTAATAAAGAATACAATTAAAGGCAATATATAAGGTAAACCGATACAACTAAAAACTTGTAAACAACAGTGAACACATACTTATACTTTCTATAATAAAGTTATAAGTAAAGAAATGCACATAATCATGAAAGTGTGTTTTTAAAAGGGATTTAAAAGATCAAATAAAAATAACTTTAGAATCAGAATCACTTTTATTATCCAGGTATGCATACACATACAAGGAATTTGACTCCGCTTTCATGTCGCTTTCAATGTACATACACAGAAATGGGCATACATAGAGCAAAAAGAAAACAAGCTTGACAAAGTAAACATGAATTGCCATGTGCAGATATAATATATATTTATCCGTCTACAAAGTAGACAACTTACAACTGCAGTTTAAAATGCCTAATTCTGTCAGGTAGACCATAGAGAGATATAATGTGGCCATATCGCCCACCCAATAATCTTTGGTCACTTAGATCCGAATCAAGGCAAATACCAATTCATATTGCTGAGAGGAATGCTGACTAAAATAGTATGTTGTAATTATATGTAGTAATAATTTTGCCTCCGTTTCCCTCCCACAGAGTCTGACATTCAAAGGGAAGATGACCACCAGCCTTAAGTTCAAAGAGAAAGCCACAGAACTTGACACTCGAAGTTACAAGTGCCTCCTTCTCGCTCTGGTCAAACTTATCCACGCTGACCCCAAACTCATGTTGCATGTGAGTCTATCTTTCAACATTGAATGCTTTTTTTGCATGCAGGTTTTTGCACCCATACACTCCAGATGTTTTTGGTTCTACTTATTTAATTTTAACTGTATTTTCTGTGACTGCAGTGAACTTGCTCCTAATTATTTGTGTGCGTGTTGCTTTGTGCTAGAACCCAGTAAAACAAGCTCCAGAGATGCAGAGCAGCACAGCAGAGCTCATCACGGGCCTGGTGCAGCTAGTGCCTCTAACCAACACCACCCAGCTCTCACAAGAAGCCATGGAGGTCAGACACCAACCCACTCCTTTACTGAATGCACAACTGGTTTCTATGGCAGAGTACAATTGGTAGAATTATCACTTGAAGAAGCATTGTTGTCTTGTTAACAACTTAATTTTTTTTTTTTCACAAATCCAATTTTTAATGAATATTAAAAAAATACAAAAGAATGTATTTGTACTATCGACACATCAAAGGAGCAAATTGGAGCAGCAGAGGTTGAGAAATCCTGACTTTTTTTATTTCTTTCAACACTTCCTGCAGATGTTTCAGTTTAAAAGCCTACCAGGAATGGGAGAAATCATGCCCTTTAAACTGCTGAAATGCTTTTAATACGAAACATCTGTGCAGGAAGTCACAATTACCATTAAGTTTCATTGAGCTCAACAGTGATTGGTTGTTAAAATAGGACGTGTTCTCAGCAGAGTTGTACTGGTGTCATTGTACTGAGGCAGTTAGTGCTGTGGAAATGTATGAAATTATGATGAATTTATCAAGATTACAGGTAGACATGGAGGAAGTTCTTGTATTCACACAAATAGAGAAATCAAACAGAAGTAGACAGGGCTGCAACTAACGATTATTTTCATTATCAATATTATCTAACATTTTCTCCATTAATCCATGGGTTGTTTGGTCGATAAAATGTCAGAAAATAGGGAAAAATGTTGATCAGTGTTTTCCAAAACCCAAGGTGACATCCTGAAATGTCTTGTTTTCTCCACCACCCAAAGATATTCAGCTTACAGTTATGAAGGAGGACTAAAGAAAGCAGAAAATATTCACATTTGAGAAGCTGAAATCTGAGCTTTGGACATTTCTTCTTAAACATTTATTCAGAACTATTAATTTATTATAGTATATAGTTTTATTTATATAACATTAAGTTTTTGTTGTTTTTCTGCTTTTGTATTAACTTTTTTGTGTTCATTTCTTTTTTACTGTCAAACCTCCACTAAGCACAAACCATTGTTTCTGTCTCCTCCTCCTGGTTCTTGTGTGTTTCTGTGTCCAGGCTCTGTTAGTTCTGCACCAGCCAGAGACCATAGAGCTGTGGAATCCTGATGCCCCAATAGAGACGTTCTGGGACATCAGGTACTCGGCGATCTTCTCATCTTTTCATAAAAGAATCAAATGCCCGGCTCTAGTCCACAGTCATAGCATTGAGCCGCAGTTGTCTGCTGTGACGGTAGCTTTTCAGCATTTTCACGTACCTTTGCATTTTTTAACATTTAGTTTTGGTTACATTCAGTTTGAGAGATACAATATCTGTTAAAAGAAAGGATTTTAGGGTTAAAGCCTGAAACCTAAGTAGACTTGATGGATGCCTCTGTCCTGAGCTGTGCTATGTGGTCTATAGTAAGTTGCTGCAGCTGAACTGAAATCCTTGCAGGTAGTGTGATTAAATGTGTGAAATATAAACTTGGTGTGAGATGGTTCACTTCAAGTGCACCAACTCTGTCGGACAGTCTTCATTCGAATTGTCAACCAGGACAGGTGAAATTTGAGTGGCTGATCAAGGAAACACAAGGTTGTATAACAAAATGGAAGTTTGCAGTTCCTTCATGCTAAGCATATAGAAAAAGATCATTACATTTATATTAAACAAATGCATAAAATAAATCAGTATATACAGTTATTTATTTACATATATACATACACATATACAGCCAGGAAATAATTCTGTAGGTCATCTTTTACCTTGATAATAATATGGTTTCATCTTCAAGTAAATAAATAAAAGAAATATAAATACAAATTAAAACAAAAATGTAGCAAAAGTTTCCAGCCGCTGCATCTGCAGGCACAGCTGATGCTATGTGGGAACTGAGTGTCAGTGTCTATGAGCACTGGAAAGCCCGAAAAACCTGTTGTGACCTTTTTTTCCAATGTCATGGTTGTGTGAAAAACAGCAAATCTTTACTTTTCTTGATGCTCTAAACTTATTTAGTTTACAGAATAATATCTTCTCTCCTTTTTTGCTTCTTCCTTTAGCTCACAGGTGCTCTTCCTCATCTGCCGCAAACTGATCGGCCAGCAAATGGTTAATGGGACAGAAGTTCTCAAATGGCTGAGGGAGATCCTCATCTGCAGGAACAAGTTTCTGCTCAAGAACAAGGTACAGTCCCGTTCCTCAGCTGTAGCAACAGGCTGCAGGTAATGACAAATAATCCGACCACTGAACCAATATCTTCGTTTGGGCCAATCAGTGAGAATCACTTACACAATGAGCAGTATAGTTCTCTTGGAGTCTGTTTCGCTGGCTGAGAACAGATTTTTGGTGGTGTGAATGCTCAGAAAGCTTTAAGATTTGGTGTGTCTGTCTGTGAGCGAATCAGTGTGTAGACTACATCTTTAGTCCTTGATTTTTACAGGAGTGTGCCACTATGGGTGGTGGGATTCCCATCTGCCGGCAAGCGCAGACAAAGCTGGAGGTGTGTCTCTACATGTTCCTGTGGAGTCCAGACACCGAGGCGGTGCTGGTGGCCATGTCGTGTTTCCGCCACCTCTGTGAGGAGGCTGACATCCGCAGTGCCGCCGACGAGGTGCCCGTCCAGACCATCCTGCCAAACTACCCCACCTTCAGTGAGCTGGCCTCAGTCAGCAACATGATGGGAACAGGTCAGTACTGTTTCTCACCTTGAATACTACAGCTCAGTGTTCAGCACTGCACCAGAGCTTCTCACATATGGTACATTTTATTATTTTTTAGTGATTTTAAATGAACAACCAACCAGTGATCCTCACAGACTGTTTAATCACAAATGCCTACGATCACTTCCATTAACTAGTAGCATGTGGTAGAGGAAAGAAAAATGTAATGATAGAATGAGGGGGAACAGTATACTATCAATGGAGATTTTAGTAATGGAGTATTATACCGATGATTCCATCGATTAATCAGGTTTGTTGTGAAAGTCTTTCCCGGTGTGTAAGGAGTAGTTATGTTGTTTAAGTCAGCCTAGATAAGCTCAGGTTGCAGTATAATAGTTACTGAAAGGCTGAACATTGTGAAGAAAAAGAAATGAAATGAAAAGTCCCTGTTTATGTAACGTTACTATGGCGTCTTCTTGTACTCTTACAGCAGAGTTGCTGCAGACTGTGAACAGCTAAGTTAGCTAATCAGAATCGGTTTATTGCCAAGTATGTTTTTACACGTACAAGGAATTTGCCTTGGTGCATTGGTGCATAAAATCACACAAAAATAATACTTTTTAATATATAAATAAATAAAGATAAGGATAAAGATAGAAAGATCTAAACTGTACAGAAAAGATATTTACAATGTGCAGGATAGAAAAACCAACAGTGCATTAATGTAATGCATATATCCAGGGTGGGTTTAAGAGACAACCAAAGCAACCACATGTCAGCTATAGTCATGCTAAAGTAAATTAAAATAGCCTGAACTGGAGGTTTCCCAAATCCATTTTGGAGCTGTGATCAGATACTCAATCGCATTTTGTGTTGTGATTTTTTTATTTATTATTTTTTTTACTGATAATTTAAAAGGATTCTATAATTTGATTTAGAAAATTTAAGAGAAAATATATTTTATAGATTTTTGTCTCTTTTATAATTTGTCTTCAATCTCTTTTTGTTAAAAGAAAAAGAAAGTGAATTGTATCAAATCATGGGTTGAGTGTGTCATTACATGACCAACTCCTCTATATTTTCCAAAGCACCTTCTGCACCCATAATAATCATCTGTGCACAACGCTGTATGGCTGTATAAAGTTATATGATTAAACAAACAATGATTTTTAGTAATGGAGTTACTCGAGGGATGGTTTCAGCCCTACAGATGTGCCATTATCTTCCTTACTCAGTATCAATGATGTGTATCAGTATCAGTATCAGTGACGTCAGCCTAAGCTCAGATAGCTGTACTACCCCGAATATGGCCAACAGAGGGTTAGGATCAGTAAATGTGCAACATGCCTTTGATAGGGTGTTCAAACACAGATGTACTCCAGCCACAGACAGGACCAAACCATCTGGCTGTAGGCACCTGGATCACGTCTGCATCTGCATCTCATCTACTCCTGGAAAATGTTTTGCTCGTCTGATGGAGCGTGTAAAGTGCTCTAAATGATAGTGGCGTGTACTGGATGCATATTGATTCATTGATAATATTGAACTAATCATTAACAGCAGCACTCCTGATAAGATAAGATATTCCTTTATTTGTCCCACAATGGGGAAATTCCGATGTTGCAGCAGCAA